AGTTAATACCTAACTCTAAGTTTTTGAGGAGAAACAGTCAATTCAAAACTCATCGAAGAATACATTATAATGATTCTTATATTTTCCGAATTAATCTTGTATTCACCTTGCCTTTTATTGCTCAGAGGTAACGGCAGTATGCGAAACACATTGAGATGTTTATAAAAGCTTTCAATTCGATATATTCATTAGATGTTCGAGATTTTAATAGAATAACATTGTCGTTTTTATACTCGGTCAATTACGAAAAGAGAAGACCGAAGATCAAGATGATGACGCGGACTCGAAAAACAGCACATTAAAAAAGTTATACAAAATCAGAGCTAAAAACAGCTTCCTAACTAAGTTGGTACTTGACGGACAGTATCTAAGAGGTAGTAGCAGCGATGCTTTCTTAATGTGGTCAACATGGTTCCTTAATTTCTTCTTTTTTTCACCTAATCAGTTCTTTCGTCCGCCACGTCTTTTCATTGAGGACGTACACTGAGGGCAATACCACTTCCCTTTTGGTGGTGCAGTGATCCCCACGCATGGATAATGGAACCATTCAAAGGGGCACTAAAAAGCAATCATTTATTATAATAAATCTATTCGCTTATATATATATATATATATATATATATATATATATTATATATATAGTTTGAACATGTCGACGGTCTTACGTCTGAATTGTCACAAGCAACCATATCGCCGTACGAAACTTGATTGCATATGCAATAGCGCGGTTCGTTCGGATCGTATGTCCAATCCGGATTGTCCGGATCCACTACTTGCGTGGTTGTGGTAACTACTGGTGGAGACACAGGCTGTTGCACTGTAGCTGCAATCACGCTCGAACTCGGCACGGTAGCTGTCACTTTTCTAGAATTTGTAATAGCAAAACTTGATCGGGACAACCGTTATTGAGATCCTATAACTTTGATTTGACGCAACTTGCCAGTTCACAAAAGGAGGCAGTGTCTCACGCCATGCTTAGCGCCGACTCAGCGCCGCTGAGACACTACCATAATATCCAGATGTGTTGTTTAAATAATTACTGTACAAGAAATTTTTCCATAAAATAAAATACAAAATTGTAAAGTATCCCTAATATAACAAAGACTGATCTCTGACCCAAATTATTGCAACTTAAAGAGAATTTATAAATAAGGGGCAATTAAATTATTTTGAGTAAATTTAATTACTGTTTGTGTCTTCATTATACATTTTCTACATACTTTTTATGCTTCTTTGTAGTTTCCTGGATAGCGGCGATGGCGGTTTGCGCCGCGCCGGCCAGTTCCCTGCTGAATTCCGCAGCATGTACGCCACCAGTGTTAATAGCCTCATAGCTTGCCTTTAAACTAGCCGAGCGTCTACCTTGCTGCATTGACTGCGTGGCCGCGATCGCCTGTGACGCGGCTGCCGCAATGGCATTACCACCGGCGCCGATGTGGCCGAGATTATAACATACTGATCCCACGGAATTAGCAATTGCTGCCGGCGCCGGCGTGACACTATTCGTTGCGATAATAGGCGCGGAATTCGCTGATGCCGGCCGTGACTCCGGTAGACTTGTCGTTGCTGGCAGCTTCTCAATCACCAGTCTCTTTTCGACCGACGTGGAAGATGCGTTGGAGTCCCGTCGCTTCTCCGATCGAGCTGAAATTTGCGTAAAATTTGGAGATTACGTCTAAAGATTGTTATGTATTACAATTTTATTCCATTTACAAATTTGTAATTAATAATTGGTAATTTTTATAGATTGTCAGGTCTTAAAGTATCCTAGTAATATCGACATTTTTGAGAGTTTATACTAACGCATTTTTCATTTTGATGTTGAAAGCCATTTGAATTAAACATGAAATTACATTATGTAAAAATGCTATACTTACAATGGCTATGATTATCTCGCGTTCTGCTCGGCGTAAAACTGTAACGATTTTCTTTTTGGCTGCTATTCGTGGGTGGCTGATCCAACTCTAGGGATCTCTTTTCCAAGATTTCGGTGATACCCTTATTGTCTGCCTCAAGTTCCATCTTGAATTTGTGTAGCTCTTGATCGAGCCTCCTTAGGTACCTATCTACCAAGTCATACATCTGATTGGCTAAGTGCACCTTCTCATCGGCATCTTCTAAAGTTTTATAATACTCTTTTCTGATAGCTTCGTACTCTGCTTCCTTTTCACTGGGTTTCATCTTCTTGGCATTGGAAAAAAACGTCTTTACTTTCTTTTCCAGGCTATCCATGGAATCTGAAGGTAGTTGACATTAGTTTTATATTTTAGAGTTTTTTTTATTGTCATCACTGTTATTATTTTATCACTATATTTTTATCTCTATTACATCAAATAATACATACTTTGTACACCTAAATCCATCTCCCTCATCTCTGTAAATCGGTCCCGTAGCTCTTGTGGAAGATGCTCGATCACTGAAACCATAAGCTAGACATTAGCAAAAAGATAATTAGAGTTTTATATTTTATACAAAGTAATTATTCTTAAACTATTTATTCTTGCAAATTTACTTATACTTTGTTCTTAATAATTTCCATAGTTAATAGATGTCTTTTCATTTAATGTCACAAGTTGACACAAATGTCCTTTTTCTTGACATGCCTTGAGTAACAAAAACAGAATGACATTTGTGTCAACTCGCATCATAGAAAATACTCAATATAATGTAAGCAACGAGTCCTTTGATTGCTACATGATCTTACATTAAACAATTTTATTTACTTTATTTGTTTATAGTAACGCCAAGTTCAATAAAATTAATATTTTTTGAAATATTCTATGACTATCCTTATAGTGCGTATATTGAACAAAAAAAATTACGACTATGTAAATAGGAATTGTACTTTGGAGGAAAGATTTTTAATGAATTTTTAATTCTGTACAATGAAATTCAATGTTGATAAACGGATTGTGGATTTAAATAATAATTTATTACTTAATGATAATTTATTTTCTCTTTTATCTTGGCAATAGCGACAAGCGTTTCATCGTGTCGACGAAACATCGCGCCTAACCTTTCGACGCGAGGTCGCATTGTTAAGCGAACGCGCCTTCCCCGTCGCATTTTACAGCGATCAGGTCCAGGTCGCGATCAACGCGCAAAAGGAGGTGCGGATCGCGGAACGTAAACAAAAATAGCTGCATTCGTCGCGGAACAAATCGGCCTGCGAGATTCTAGGTGATTTTAGGTTTTAGGTTAGGCGCGCGCCACGCGAAGAGGTTAGGATTCTAGGAGCGAGCCGTGCCATTTCTCCTACGCACTTTCGACGTAATCTTCGAGGTAAAGCATCTTCCCGCGCCGTCGGTTGCCCGCGATTGATATACTTGACTAGTAGCCGCCGTACGTCGCCGGGTAGCCGCAAAATTTCGCGGGAGTTTGTAGGAAAACGCGCTGCCCGATCGAAAGCGTGCCCGCGCGTGTCCAGTCCTTCCGCAGTTCGCAATGTTCGCATTCGTATTTGTTCGTTTCGGATTTTCGGGCGCTTTCAGCTTTCAAGTCTTAGCGCGCTTTCAAACTTGACTTTTGGTCTGAAACGTTCAGTCGGGATTTTCAAGGGAGTGCGATCGTCGCTACGACCTACGACGGGCTTTGCCAGGCGACAATAAGACTCGTGCGAAGCAGCCTTGGTTTGGGATTATTTGCCATATTTGTCGTATACCCGGTATACCTTAAGCCTATTCTACAATTACGTAAGCGTAGTTGTAAGTGATTGTAGTTGTAAGAATTGACCAATCACAGTTGAATATTCTTCTCATATTCGACAGTGATTGATCAATTCTTACAACTACAACTATTTACAACTACACTTACACAATTGTAGAATGGGCTTTACCTGCCTTACCATATACGCGAAGGATACCAGGGACGTATCGAGAAGCCTGGTACCCGGATCAAAGAGGATATTATCACTTCTTCGCCTCATTTTTTATTAAATTTAATTGATTGCGAGAAATCACTGAAATGCGTATTTAATTTTGGAGCGCTTGCAATTTCAGCGAAATTCAAAGGCCTAAAGTTTAATCTACGATGCACTTCTTGTTTCTTGCTTTTTACCACTTTTTAGACATCTTTTGCCTTTTTACTTCTTATTATGTTTCTTGATTTTCTGTTGCCCGAAATATAAGTTGACAAATTTTGAAAGAGTAAAAAAAAACACGACTGTCTATAAAACAGTCTCAAAGAGAGAGAGATAAAAGAATAAAAAATAAAAAACGAAGAATACATTGTAGATTAGGATTATCTATCGTATATCTCTTGTATATCGGAAAAGAAAGTTAGAAAACAAGGTTTCTCTTTTTGTCTTACGCGATTATTCTTATTCTTCTCGATGTGCACGTTTGTATTTTACTCATTCTTGATTTTTCGGAGAATATACAGCGCGCTTCAGAAGTCGCATATATATTTGCGAATCATTATTTTCAATTCAATTCTGATAAGATTCATTATACATAAAAAAAACAATGTAATGCTATTATTTTTTTCAGTGAGATATGATACGACGAAGTCCAACTCGGATAGAAATGCGTTTGGATGACCTGCAGGTGTACGAGGAAATAAGAAAAGCACACGAGTCTAAGAAAGATCCCGAAAGAAAAGCGTCCTCGTCCATGAATCCACCCTCATGGGGAGGAAAGATTCCTCAGAGCGAGATTCAAGAACGCATTGGTTACGTGCCGCAACATCCATCCGCGCACAATCGAGCCACAACATAGCAGCCGATTCAAGAGTCGGGATACGAATTACAGAATGAATAAGAAACAGTCAAATTATGCATTCCAACATAATTTTGATTTTAAATAGTTAAATACATTTATACACAGATACGATTTATATTAAACATGTTCGGAAATGATCTATTAAAACAGATATAATTTTTAAAAAATGAATTTGTTCAATTTTATGCAATTAATTACACCGGTTACGATAAAAAAATCATAATCCTAAAAGCAGTTTTTATAACATGATGTTAGTTTATTTACAAAATGTAATTGCTATGTGTGAAATATACAATTAATGGACGATGTCTATGTTTTTCTTCTTCTTCTTCATCTTTATTGGCATAGGTCCTGGCATCTTGAATACCGTGCTTAAAAAATTCACAATGAGTTCACAATATATTATCATTTATGATATATTATTTTAATATATGATATAATTAAAAAATATCAGCTAAAGAAACTTACTGGCAAGTAGTACATATTGGACTGAACTTACAGAAGACTGAAAAACGATAATACCTTTTTAATACAAATAAATTTAACAATGTTTAATATTATATTTATACTTGTTTTTTACATTGTTTCACATTAATTACAATATTTTTAAATTATTGATCAGATATAACTTCATACTTACTTGATAAACATATAGAACAAACGTATCCAATATCAATAAGTTCCTGATGGCAAAAACACGCTGCCCTATAATCCACCTTTACTGGCGGAGGAAGAACCAATTTTGATCTAACATTGGGATCTGGCAGGAAAACCCACTAAATTATAAAAAAAATGAATCATAGTATACATAATAATTACATTTGTGTTAATAAAATTAAGCATGCACAATTCACCAGTAAATACTGCAGCAATCCAGCAAGCTGTGGTACCTTCAGGTAATTACCGCCAGTAATATCGCAGCCCTGTTGCAAGAGTGTCAGCTCTTGATCCAAGCTGCACACATCCAAAATGACATTCTGAAAGTAGCCAGGTGGATTTATGTTACGAATTATCTATTATTCTGTTGTTATAATACAAAAATCCAAGAGAGAGACAAAACCATTCTCTGTGCAGTGAAGAATATGTTCATATAATTCATGTACTGCGTGGCTGAGTCATTGCTGGCAGTAATCACCAGCACCCTAGGATGCAACTTCTGGCCAGCAACTTTTTCTCGCTCCAACCGAGCGATATAGCACAATGCCATACTGAGTGCACCAGAGATAAGACTCTCCATATTCAATGGAACATCCATGGAGATTTCATTAATGACTTGCTGCAATTGCTGACGCACCGTGCGTTCTACCATGGTAAACTTTTCGTACTGTCCATCCATTTGTCTTATTTCTATTGCGTTTTCACAAGGATAGAGAAATCTAGCACCATGACCGTGGCATGACATTATCGCCAGTTCATTATTGGACGATTGCATAAGGTGAGCATTGGCAAAAACAATTGTAGAGTCTAAACACTGTGACAGTATCTTGGTTTCTTGCTTCACTATACGCTGCATCGGATTGACATCCAGAACGACCACTAACAAACTCGTTTCTATTTCTGAAGAACATTTATAAGTTAGTGAATAAACAAAGATCGGACAAATAAATTCCAATTTAATTCCGCAAGATAACGTATTGCATATAAAAACATTAACATACCAGTCGACATTTTGCTGGAATTCTCTTTTTTTAATAATTTTCTTTCTTTAAATTGGAAATTTCTTTATTTTTTAATTATATTTTTATAAACTTTTTGTTGTTTTTTCAATTTATGTGGAATCAGAAGTTAATAATAAACAAATATCAGAAGTACATAACTGCCACTGCACAATGCAGCGTGCAATGCAACGCTACCGGCTACTGATGCCAATGGTCGCGTTCGGCATCGTCTACAATACATGGAGTAAGAAGTAAGAGTAAGAAATTGACCAATCACAGTCGATTATTCTTCTCACATTCGACTGTGATTGATCAATTTCTTACTTTTACTTCTTACTCCGTGTATTGTAGACGGGCCTGAGCAGACTCAACTGTTGCGGAGCGGATCTGTGAGCGCTCACTACTATTGGATGATCTAGAAGAATACACCAATGGTCGCGTTCAGCAGACTCGACTGTTGTGGAGCAGATCCGTGAGCACTTGCTGCTATTGGTGTATTCTTCTAGATCATCCAATAGCAGCGAGCGCTCACAGATCCACTCCACAACAGTTGAGTCTGCTGAACGCGACCAATAGCAGCGAGCGCTCACGGATCCGCTCCGCAACAGTTGAGTCTGCTGAACGCGACCAATGGCATGCCAATTGTACAGTACATGGTGTAAAGCTGGAAACACAATAGACACAGGCAATAGGCACAGGAAACAGGGAATAACGAGCCATCAAATCAGAGCTTTGGGCCGGTAGTCATAGTCGGATCTTATATTTAAGACCATCTTAAGTACAGTCTTAAGATGTCATGAACCAATCAGAAGGCCGCATTGGCGACTTAAGACATTACTTAAGACGGTCTTAAAATAAGAACCGACTATGAATGGCCTTGGGGTATAAGTTCGATATTATATCCCAGAACTCTGATTGGACAGCTCGTTATTCCCTGTTGCCTGTGCCTATTGCCTATGTCTATTGTGTTTCAAGCTTAATAAGACAAGGGCCGGTATTCATAGTCGAGTCTTATAGCGTTTTCGGCCCGACCGGGTTTGCACCAACCTGGGTTGGATTAATGGCGTTTAAACTGTCTTAAGTAATGTCTTAAGACACTAATCCAGCCTTCTGATTGGTTCGAGACTTCTTGAGACCGTACTTAAGACGGTCTTGAATATAAGATCTGACTATGAATACCGGCCAAGGTGTAACATTCCCGTGGATGCGCAGTAGTATGCGCTTCGACCAATCACATTTGGGTCCAAATGCACCCGCGAAATTTATAGCGTTTTCGATTGGGCAAAGTTAGTGCGCACCAGTGCGCACTCAGTTTACACCAACACTGGACGAGTTCCATGGGTTGCACTGAATAGTGCAAGTTCAAAAGAATACGCCAA